ACGCTTTGGCGGGGAGCCCCGGCACGACCGTCCAGGCGCCGCGCCGTGCCTCGTGTGGGACCGCGCCTGGCAGCGGGCACAGCCGTGCCCCTGTCTCCTCTGGGGGGGTGCCCTCGCCCCTCCCCAGCGTGGCCATTTGCGCTGCGGTGCCTCTGGCAGGCGGCTGCGGAGTGCCGCTCAGAGCCCTCAAGGCTGTTGCCAATGTCTCTCGTTATTTAACTTACAGACTAGAGGAGCAAAACCCCCCAGCAGGCTGACTCGCCCCCGCAGAGCGGGATGCTGCGGCTCACCCGTGGGGCTCTGCCCAGGCCCTTTCCAAGTGTCAGCACCGTCACAAAACTGTTCCCAGCCGAACAGACCCTCCCGGGAAGCTCATTTTAGAGCTTCTCAGCCACATCCCCTGCCTTGATTTCATCCCCTCCTCCAGACCCACCTCAGCCCCCTCCGTCCCACAGAGGGTGCCTGGCTGCTCCCCCAGCCCTCTCCTTGTTTTCAGCATCAACGTTCCGACTGCCGTTTTTCCCCAGCCACCGATCCTGCCACAGCAACGCCTTTGCAGCACGGCCAGCTCGGCCCCTGCCCCTGGCCGCAACAGGGACACAGCCAGCGTTTCGTGCGTGCCCAGGTTCAGCGGGGCAGGCCAGCTCTCCCCGGGCACGGCGCCCTCGCCCGCAGGAGCGGGACACGGGCAGAGCGCCTGCCTTTCTCACGCCAGCCAGCAGCTCTCACGGGTCCCGGTGTTTTTCCCTCACCATCCTCACTCGGTGAAGACTTGATGTCTGTGGCCCTGCCGTTGTTCAGAAAGCTTGAAAATACAGCCCTCTTGGGAGATGAATGAACAGTAACATCCAGCCTCCATCATTCTTCAAACCCACTGTTTCCCTCCCCTCGTTTCTGTGGCCTGACCCAGCACGTCTGAGCCCCCAGCCGGCTCTCAGCTTTCTGCACGAGCAGGGCTCTCAGCCTGCAATGCAGCGCCGCGCCGCTCTCTAACTGCACGGTGTTTGGTGCAGGGATCACAGCAGCCGCATGTGTTTGGAGCAGTAACGTGCTGCCTCCTTCCCCACTCCGCTCCTTCGCTGCGCGCAGTCTCTGCCGGCATCAGGATGGGGAGGAAAACCCGCTCCTCGCTTTCCTGACCTGCCTCTGAGCTGTGCCAGGCCGAGCAGCCGGTGCCGGCGCAAGGCAGAAGGACCGGCTGGGGGGGGGCCCCCCCCCC